GGGATATAAAGGTAGGAGAATAAGGAGGTCGCGGCTAACCTAGGCTACTAGCTAAGTTCAAGACTAGTCGGGTCTACATGAGATCTTGTCCCAAGAAGGAAGGACGGAAGGCAGCTAATTTGTCTAGTTTGCTCTTGGAGTTTCTGACATCAGGGCTGAGGCAGTAGCTCTGAGATAGAGAAAGCACTTGCTTTGCATGCCTGATACCTGATGTGCAAGCCTCAACTGGGTCAAAAGAGAGAAGATCTGAGTCAGACATCATCTAAAATTTAAACTTTTGAGGGCTGGGCATGGCTCAGTGGTTGGGTACCCATTGCCCTTGCAAAGAACCTTTGAGTTCAATTCCCAGTATCCAAATCAGGTGGCTCACCACTGCCTGTTACTCCATCTCCAGGGAGACCCAACACCTCTGGCCTCCACAGGTATCTGCATCCACATGTACATAACCACCACCACATACACATCATTTTAAAAATGCAAATATATCAGCCGGGCGGTGGTGGCGCATGCCTTTAATCCCAGCACTCGGGAGGCAGAGGCAGGCGGATCTCTGTGAGTTCGAGGCCGGGCTGGACCGATAGCCTCCAAAACAATACATAGAAACCCGGTCTCGTAAAACCAAAAAAAAAAAAAAAAAGCAAATATATCTTAAAATTTAAAAGTGGATCTGAGGAGTTGGGTCAGCAAACTTGAGTACTGGAGTTCAGATCTCCAGCAACCATGTAAATGTCAGATAGGCATGCATGCCACCTACCTTTAATCCCAATGGGAGATAGGTAGAATATTGTGGTGATATATTGTTTATGATTTAATGAAGCTTGCCTGGGGATCAGAATGCAATGCTAGCCACACTAGTTAGCCATAGATGCCAGGCAGTGGTGGTATACACCTTTAATCCCAGGACTCAGGAGACAGAGGCAGATGAAACTCTGTGAGTCCAAGACAACCCTGAGCTACACGAGAATGAATCAGTTTAAGAGTAACAGAGATCATGCCTTTAATCTCAGCACTAGAGAAGTATATAAGGAAGAAGGAAAATCTCATGGGAGATTTGGTTTCTGGTCACAGGGAAAACAATATCCCCATTTCAGCCTTGGTACTGGCTGGCTGCTTTGTTTCTCTGATCTTCAGCTTGAGTCCCAATATCTGTCTCTGGGCTTTTATTATTTGTACTACAGAATACATTGCTCAAGATCCCTTGAGAAAAGTAGCTAACTAGACTAGCTGAATCATCTCTGGGTTCACCCGAAGGACTCAGGGTGGGGAGAGATTGAGGAATACACCTAAAGTTATCTTCTGACTTCCACACAGATGGACACATACATGCACATACCCACACTATTCACACACATATGAACACATATATACACATACAAGCATATAGCACACATACACCCACATACATTTTAAAGTGCCAACATTATTAGGAACAAATCACTATGCATGATGATTATCTGACATAGAAACATATGCAAATTCAAGCTTAACGAAAAGTTTAATTCCCAATAAACTCAGATACTAAACTTGTTAGAGGCACAATAAAATTTATGAAACATTTTGATAAATAATTTTTCTTTATTTATTTAGATAGGATCTTGCTATATAGTACAAGCCTTGAACTCACAATCCTCCTGCTTCACAAGCATTGACATTTCAGGCATGAATCTCCCCAAACCGTAACTATTTCTTCTTCCTCTTCCACCTTATGTTTGTAGTCATTTATTTACATTATTTATTTATTCATTTATGTGTGTGTGTGTGTGTGTGTGTGTATTTTTTGAGTCAGAGCTCAGGATTTCCATGTGTAGCCCTGGCTGTCCTGGAACTTACTCTGTAGCCCAGGTTGGCCTCCAACCCAGAGCTCTGCCTGCCTTTGCCTTCCAAGTGCTGGGATTAAAGGCCTGTGCCACCACACCATACAGAAATCTCTATAATCTCTTTTTCTTTGTTTTGGTTTTTCGAGACAGGGTTTCTCTGTATTGTTTTGGAGCCTGTTGTGGAACTCGCTCTGTAGACCAGGCTTGGTTTTGAACTCAGAGATCCACCTGCCTCTGCCTCCCGAGTGCTGGGATTAAAGGTGTGTGCCACCACTGCCCAGCTTCTATAATTTCTTAAAAGCTCAGTGAGCTAGGTGGAAGAATGAGGGTGACCTGAATTCAATCTTTTTTTTTAAGACTTACTTATCATGTATACAATACACTTGTACAACAGAAGAGGACACCAGATCCCATTATAAATGGTTGTAAGCCACCATGTGGGCGCTGGGAATTGAACTCAGGACCTCTGGAAGAGCAGCCAGTGCTCTTAACCTCTGAGCCAACTCTCCAGACCATTTCTTTTTTTTTTGGTTTTTCGAGACAGGGTTTCTCTGTGGCTTTGGAGGCTGTCCTGGAACTCACTTTGTAGACCAGGCTGGCCTCGAACTCACAGAGATCCGCCTGCCTCTGCCTCCCGAGTGCTGGGATTAAAGGCCTCCAGATCATGTCTTTGAAAATGTTTATTTCATATGCAGTGTTCCGTCTGCATGTACTGTATGCCTGCAGTCCAGAAGAGGGCACCAGATCACATTATAGATGGTTGTCAACCACCCTGTCATTACTGGGAATTGAACCAGGGCCTTATGGAAGAGTGGCCAGTGCTCTAACCTCTGAACCATCTCTTCAGCCCCGAGGTCAGTCTTCTAAACTCACATAAAGATCTGGCTATGGCCGGGTGTTGGTGGTGCACACCTTTTTTTTTTTTAATATTTTATTTATTTATTGTATATACAGCCTTCTGCCTACAGGCCAGCACAGGGTACCAGATTTCATTCAAGGTGGTTGTGAGCCACCATGTGGTTGCTGGGAATTGAACTCAGGACCTCTGGAAGAACAGTCAGTGCTCTTAACCGCTGAACCATCTCTCCAGCCCCAGTGGCGCACTGCCTTTAATCCCAGCACTTGAAAGGCAGAGGCAGGTAGATCTCTGTGAGTTCAAGACCAGCCTGGTCTACCGGGCCAGTTTTTGTGTGTGGGGATCAAACCCAGGGCCTTGTGTATTTCAGGAAAACACTGTCTTTTGAGCTGCATACATACCAATATCTTCATTTTATTCTTTTGTTTTGCTTTGTTTTTTGTTTTTTGAGACAGGGTTTCTTTGTTTTGTTTTGTTTTGGAGGCTGTCCTGGAACTTGCTTTTTCGACCAGCCTGGCCTCCAACTCACAGAGATCCGCCTGCCTCTGCCTCCCAGTGCTGGGATTAAAGGCATGCGCCACCAACGCTCGGCAATATTTTCATTTTATAAGCAGGTTATGAAATAATCTGGTAAAGCTATAGGTGGTCACAAAGGAAGTCCTAGGAATAAAACCTTTCATGCGGATCAATTTCAATCTCAGGATTGTTTAAAACTTGTTAGCTTAACTTCTTTTCTAAAATCCTGTCTTCCTCTCCCCACACCACCTCGTTTCTAATAAACATTTATTTTTCTTTTTTCTTTGTTTGTTTGTTTTTGTTTTTCTGCGTAACAGCCCTAGCTGCCCTGGAACCCTGGAACTCACTCTGTAGACCAGGCTTGCCTCGACCTCACAGAGATTCACATGCCTCTACCTCTGCCTCTGCCTCTGGAGTGCTGGGATTAAAGGCATGAACCACCACCACTTGGGTAAACATTTAATTTTTTTGTTTGTTTGTTTTTTCGAGACAGGGTTTCTCTGTGGCTTTGGAGACTGTCCTGGAACTAGCTCTTGTAGACCAGGCTGATCTCAAACTCACAGAGATCCACCTGACTCTGTTTCCAGAGTGCTGGGATTAAAGGCGTGCACCACCACCACCGCCCGGCACTTTTAATTTTTAAAGCACTACAAATAGCTTAGTTCTTACCACCCTGGTGTGTGATTGTGTAATATGGTATAGGAGAGAAAGCTGCGCCCCCAGGGCTGTCCACTGTCGGTTCTCTGTCAGGAAGAGATGATTTTCAGCAACATAACCCTTATACATAACCCATTTACTATTTTATATACGTGGCTTGACTACTGATCTAATTATGTCCTTTGAATCAGAAGGCAAAAGAGTGTCCTGCTTAAGTCAGAAGATGAGGTCTTATCCAGCATTGTCAATAATTTGCTGTGTACTTCGGCAAGAAACTTAACCTTTGTTTTCTCTCTCAGGTTAACCATTATCGAGATAAAATCATAGAATGTTAAAACTGGCAGAGCCTTCAGAAATTACACAACCAAATTCCTTTATTTCATGGAAAGATTAAGAGATTTATGCCAACCACCTATGTAGTTAGCTATTAAATGTAGGCATTACAGACCAGTATCTTTTTCATGCACTGTTTTCATGTTTTCCCTCACTGTTGTTCCAAGACACAACTGAGAAAAAACTGAAAGCACTAAACAAATACAAAGCTATTTTTAAAAAATCGGATAACAGTATTAACATTAGCAGGCGCTGTAATCTTAAAAGTTTACTGGAGTGTGCACTCCAGCTCTCTTGCACAATTTAAAAATTAGAAGTTATGAAGGCTATATGGGGAAAAAGAGAAGAAAAAGAATAAGCAGGAAGAAAATTAACAGTGGGTTTGTGGAATACCTTTGAAAGGAAAGCAAAATACTCTCAAGTACGCTAATTTCCTCTCAATCAATGTTTACTGGTCTTTTTCCACTTTGCACATTTCTGAAGAAAACATTTACAATAAAAATGTGTCGTTCCATTTCCCGCTTATATAAACACAATATTTGTCTAATTTACAGAACTTCTTTCCAGGCCACTGCCCTAAACAACGGGCTGCAACCTGCAAAAAAAAAAAAAAAAAAAAAAAAAAAACCACAGTCGCAGGGGAAACTCCAAGTCCCGAAATGCTCGTCCGCCTAGCTGCACCTCCTGTTCGCAAGGACGACACTTTCATCTGGGAATTGTAGTCATCTGGAGCCCTATTTCTGGGCTTTGGGACAGAGGGACGTCCCCAGAAAACTACAGCTCCCAAGAGGCCATGCGCGCCCTTCCCGCCCCGCCGCCGTGGTGCTCCGCCCCCGGCCGCTCCTCCCTCGTTGGGCAGCGCTGCTCATGCCTTCCTGTTGGTCCGAGCTGGGAGAAGTTCACTCTGATCAGCTGATTCCAACTGACAACAAGAGAGGAGGAAGCCTGGAAGGCAGCAGAGGAGGAGGGGGCGGAGATGTTGCTGAGGATGGATCCGTCGGTGCCCTAGAGCAGCCTGGGTCCCGTCGGCACTCCGCGTCCCCCACATCGCCTTGCCGCGGCCAAGCTGCTCCGGGTGGGCTCTGCGGGCCACGACGGGAACGACGGGCAGGGCGGGGGCAGCTCGGCCCATCCCCGGGCGAGCTGTGGTCCCGGGGCTCCAGTCGCTCCTAGGAGGAAGGGGGACGGGTGCGGCTCGGGTGGGGGTGGGGTGGCATAAACAATGGATTCGGCTCCGGGATGTGCGGGTGTGGGGGAGGTTTGGGGGGCCTTCTTTGTTCTTGGGCTCCGCTGCCACCCCTCGGGTTGTGGTGGCGGTGTCCGGGAACAAGGTGGTGGTGAGGAACCCGGGATTGGAGAGAGGCGTCGAGGTGGGGGACCCGAGGGGGCAGATTGTTTGCTTCGCCTGGTAGGGGTCAGGTATCCTGAAGGCTGATTTTCTGTTTTTCTCAGTAGTGACAAGTTTTGATTTTTGTTTCTCTTTTGGGAGCTAGCTGGGTATGTCTGAGGCTAGGCTGTAAATAATGTCCCCAGGTTACTCCATTGCCTTGTTTATCTGAAGATCAGATGGAATGATTGATTACTGTAAGGGAGGAGTGAATATCTGAAAGAAGGACTTTACACTTTGTTGTGCTGTTGGAATAAAAGGCAAAGCTTGGAGGAATTAGGAGTGTAATTACATGAAGGAGTGACCCAAACCCCCGCTTCTGTCTCCCCACTCTTTCCCTTTAAAGTTATTTTTAAGTTAGTTTTTGACTGTCCAGAGAAAATGGTTTGTTTTGACTGACTGTAGGGCCTGACTGTCCTGTGCACCAGAGTACAGGAATTCTGCCTCCTGTTGCTCCCAGATCTCTTGCTCTAGACAGAGAAATAAGGGACAAAAAAAGAAGCATGTTTTAGTTTTTGAACGCGAAATTGAGACTGTTGTTGCCGACTCGAGTCCTTACTAGATCTTTCCCTGTCTAGCAGTCCTCTTATAGGGATAATTGGATTTGTCTAGGTCCTTGAGGAAGGTCTAAAGTTTATTGTTATAATTTTTTTCTTTAGCTTTTCAAAGACTACCTTCTCCACTTCTCACATGTAAGGAGCAGGTGCAAAGGGTTAGCCTCCCAAGGACTGTTTGTTTAGTGATTTTTGAATCAGAATTTAAAAAAACGAGCAGAGCATTGTGCCAACAAAGCTGCAAAATCTTCTAGAGGCTCTGGGCCTAGGAGTGTTTTGTTGTTGATATATGTTTGTTTTGAGACAGGATCTCTCTAGGTATCCCTGGCTAGCCTCGAACTCACAGAGGTCCACCTGCTTCTGCCTCCAGAGTGCAGATGCCTGTGGCTGTTTTTTGCTTTTTTTGAGGTAAGATCTTTTCTAGATAGTTCAGTAGTCTTGCTTTCAGCCTTTTGAGTCACAGGTATACCACCATGCCTAGTATGGTGATTGTTTTTATGAGGAAGATCCTTAACCATCATTTAAGATGAAATTTCTGGTCCTGGAATAAGCCCATGTAAGTTTTATGAGCAAGAACTAGAGTCCTCGAAGTGGAGTGGAATTTAGGTGTGTGCTTTTTTTGTTGTTCATTTTAAGGTGCACTTCTTTTTTTCCAGATGAGTGAAACCTTCTCCCCCTATTCTAGGGAGCCCTTGAAATATTGGCTCGAGCTTCACATGTATGGAACAGCTCCTCAACACTTTATTTCATCACTATAACTCTGTGACTGAGGCCTCACTGATGAGCCTGCCTTTGTGAACGTAGCTGACCTCTCATTGCGCATCAGACACCACAGTTTTCTCTGCCCTTTGTGGAGGATGAAATCTTTAAACCCAGTCGACATTGCTGCTGCTGATACAGGACACTTGGAGGCAGAGCGTTAAACATTTGAACGCTTGTTGAGTGTGCATAAATTCTTAGCCGGACAGGTTTTCCTTTTTAAAGTGTTCAGAACCCTGTGGAAACACTAGCCACCCCTTGACTCTTGTCTGTCTTCCTTCATTCCTGGGAGCGTACAGTAGCGAGTGCTCCAGGGTGGGTGGTTTGTAGACCAGTCTAAGTTATGAGTGCCCAGACATCCCCAGCAGAGAAGGGCCTGAATCCGGGGCTCATGTGCCAGGAGAGCTATGCCTGCAGCGGGACTGACGAAGCTGTCTTTGAGTGCGATGAGTGCTGCAGTTTGCAGTGTCTCCGCTGTGAGGAGGAGCTGCACAGACAAGAGCGCCTACGAAACCATGAGCGGATAAGGCTCAAAGCTGGCCACGTCCCTTACTGTGACCCCTGCAAGGGCCCCAACGGGCATTCTCCAGGTGTTAGGCAGAGGGCAGCCGTGAGGTGCCAGACCTGCAAAATCAACTTGTGCCTGGAGTGCCAGAAGAGGACTCATTCAGGAGGTAACAAGAGGAGACACCCCATTACTGTGTACCTTGTCAGTAAGGTCCAGGAATCCTTGGAGGGGGAAGAGATGGATGAGGAGACCAAGAGGAAGAAGATGACAGAGAGGGTTGTGAGCTTCCTCCTGGTAGATGAAAATGAAGAGATTCAGGTAAGTGACCTGCCATTACCAAACTTCTGGACTCCTATTGTTGTGTTGATCTTCTGTGGGGAGGTTGCTCCCCAAAACAGTCCAGGAGTACCCCTTAGAAGCAGTAAAAGCCAAGGGCTCAGTTGCCTAGAGTCATACTTAATTTTTTCCTTTGTTTTGTTTTGAGAAATTTCACTCCATAGTTCAGCTGACCTGGAACTCCCAACAGTCCTCCTGCCTCAGCTTCCCAAGTACTGGGATTGTAGGTATTTGCATCTATGCCTGGCTTATCTTTTTTTCTTTTCCTCCCCCCCACCCCTCTCTTTTGTTTTTTTTTTTTTTAAGGCAGGGTTTTCTCTTGGTAGCCCAGGCTGTCCTATAACTCGCTTGGTAGAACAGGCTGGCCTCAGACTCATGGAGATCCTCCTGCCTCTTCCTCCCGAGTGTTGGAATTAAAGGCTTGCAACTCCCACCTGGGCATGTTTTAATTTTTTTGAGACAGGGACTAACTGGGTAGTCCAGGCTGGTCTTGAATCTAGTGATCCTCCTGCATCAGCCTCCTGAGGCGCTGGGACTGAGGAGTAAGATTTAGCTATTTACCAGCTGGATAATCTTGGGCCAGTTTCATTTTCCTTAGAGTCTTAGTTTCTTCATCTGTACAGTGGGAACAGTGGTTGAGAGAATGAAATGAGACTGCAGGCTGTTGCCTACCAGCACTGTCAGTAGTAGTAGGAAGAACAGCTTAGAACAGTGGTCTGCAGGAGAGCACTTAGAAAACCAAGAATAATGTGACAGATAAGGGACTGACTGTATACTCAGTATTGAGGGTAACTTTTCTTTTTACAGAGACAGTATTCTTTCAGTGGTCTTTTGGTTTTCTTTTTTTTTTTTTTTTCCGAGACAGGGTTTCTCTGTATTGTTTTGGAGGCTGTCCTGAAACTTGCTCTGTCGACCTGGCTGGCCTCAAACTCACAGAGATCCGCCTGCCTCTGCCTTCTAAGTGCTGATTAAAGGCGTGGGCCACCAACGCCCAGTTCTTGGTTTTCTTATACAAGCTTCTTAGTCCATTATCTGTTGCTCTAACAAAATACCTGAGTCTGGGTAACTTATTTATGATGAATAAAAGTTCATTTTGCTCATAGGTGTAGGGGCTGGGAATTGTATCTGAGCGGCTGAGGGTGCATTCGTGCCTCTGTGTGTGTGTGTGTGTGTGTGTGTGTGTGTCCGTGTCCGTGTGTCCGTGTGTCCTGCTCAAGTGTCTTGGCTTGATAAGCCACCTCTCCCATTACAGGACTCGACTTTGATGACCTTATCTCAGTTACTTGTAGGGTCAACTTTGAGAATATTAGCATATGAATATAAGGATCCAGTGTGGGTGGGGCAGGGCGTGTTGTTTGTTTAGAATGGTGGATTGTTCTTGCAGATGACCCAAGTTCCATTTCCAGCACTTTTGTTAGGAAGCTTAACAACTGCCTGTAATTGCAGTTCCAGGGACCCAATGCACTCTGTTTGGCCTCTAAGAACACAATATGCACAAACAGCATTTAGAAAACATAGTTTCGCCGGGTTAAGGGCGGCAGCGCACGCCTTTAATCCCAGCACTCAGGAGGCAGAGGCAGGTGGATGGATCTCTGTGAGTTCGATGCCGGGCTGGACCGATAGCCTCTGAAACAATCCCGAGAAACCCTGTCTCGTAAAAAACAAAAAAAAACAAAAAACAAAAAAAAACATAGTTTCAGAGGAGTATTCCAATCATGGTGACTTCTAATGTGTAGAAGCCAGTGAGGGCTTCCAGAATACATTAAGAATCTTTGGTTTGAGCCAGGTGTTGGTGGTGCATGCCTTTAATCCCAGCAGCAGAGGCAGGCGGATCTCTGTGAGTTCGAGGCCAGTGTGGTCTACAGAGCGAGTTTCAGGACAGCTTCCAAAGCTACAGAGAAACCCTGTCTCGAAAAACCAAAAAAAAAAAAAAAAATCTTTGGTTTGTTCCCCACTTGGTGAGAGGGTAGCAAGATATAGGAGATGTAAAATTCAAAGATCATGCTCCTTAAGCTGAGAGGGAGATGGTTGTGGCTTGTGACCAGCAGGTGTGGCTAATATTTTTTGTTGGTTTTCTTTCTGTCTGTCTTTTTTGTTGTTGTTGTTTTTGTTTTTGTTTTTTTTCCGAGACAGGGTTTCTCTGTGTAACAGTCCTGGCTATCCTGGAACTTACTTTGTAGACCAACAGGCTGGCCTTGAACTCAGAGATCCAACTGTCTCTGCCTTCTGAGTGCTGGCATTAGAGGCATGTGCCACCTACTTTTTTTTTTATTTTTTATACAAGGTCTGTATGTAGCCCTGTCTGTCTAGAACTCCAATCTGTAGACATAGATTTACCTGCTTCTGCCTCTTAAATACGGAGTTAAAGGCTGGTGCTACCCTGCCCTGCTAGGATAGTGTATTGTTAATATATTGAATTTTTTTAGAGTTGGCTTGTAAAAAATCATGAGTCTGTGTGTCCCACTGCTTATGTATGGAGGTCCTTAAAATTTTTAAGACTCAGTTATCTCCTACCATGTTCCCTGGGATTGAACTCAGTGTTGGTGGCAACAAGCTTCTCACTGGAGAGGCTATCTTGAGGCAGGCCTTGGTTGGCTTTCAAAGGAAGACTGCTTCACTGTGGAAATTCACATCCAAGCTAGTGCTCACAGGCTGTGCAGCCGCAGCGAGTTCTTCCAGCTCCACCAGTCCCTTCCATTTCAACCTCATAGAACTGTCGAGAGGACTCAGAGATGAGGAGTGGAAAAGACCTATCCCAGGGTTTGGAACCTCATGTCCAGTACCAGTTTATTGTTGCCAGTACCCTTGTGCCATTTGTGGCCCACTGACTTGGTACTTGTGGTGGTGAAGACTCAGTCCCAAGAGGGAGGAACACCAATATAAGTCACCATTAGAGAGATTTCCCAATTATCCACTAAGTATTTTTTACCTCTACTTCTTCCTATGTGAATAAGCTGATGGAAATGAATTACGTCATGGTTGCTGAATGCTTTGCTAACACAGACTTCCCTTTATTGGTTTGAGAGGAACTAATAGAGTTATGGAAGAATGACCCAGATCCCATTCTGCCTGCCTTGTCAGCAGTAATGTCTTCATTATGGATTATGCTCTAATTGGGCAACATTGTGGACTGAATATTGTATAAATGGAGCAGTTGGGTCTGGATGGTTCTTGTTTTTTCTGGTATAATGTCAGCCTCTGAAAGTCACAATTCATGATATTGACACTTTTCTAAAGTGAGAGGAAGACTTTTGAGGAACCGTTAATTTAAATGTTCATGAATTTAAAAATGTGCTTGTACTTAAGGTACATACTCATTTTAACCTAACATTTGCCCTAAGCTTTGTGTGGGGGTGGGGTCGGGGTGTATGTGTCTTTTTGCATGCTGAAGCTAGAGGTCTCTTCGGTTATTCTTGGAGACATGGTCACTTGCTGAACATAGAGCTTGCTGTTTAAGCTAGACTGTCTGGCGTGAAAGTCCTCCTCCCTCTGCTTTCACCTTTACCCATGCCCGGGCCACTGCACCTGTATCGTCTTCATTTCCCCCTCTTCTCCTCTTTGGAGACTTCCATGATATCTTCAAATGCTTTGCAATATAGGATGACCTTAATGTTTTTTTCTTGAGGCATATATAGTAAATACCCTGTAATTTACTATATAAATCGACCAGGCTGGGTTTGAACTTAGAGATCAGCCTGCCTCTGCCTCCAAAGGCGTATGCCAGCACAGCTAGCTTTATCTTGACTTACGATCAACACCTTTTTTTTTTTTTTGCATTTTTCGAGACAGGGTTTCTCTGTGTAACATCCCTGGCTGTTCTGGAACTCACTCTGTAGACCAGGCTTACATGGTGTTGGGAATGAATGTAGGGCTTGCTTGCTTCATGCGTACTTGGTTAGCACTGACCAACAGAGCTACAGTTCCAGCCCAGTCCAGGTACTGTTTACCTCTATCTTGTTTCCTTAAAATATTTTTCCCTGAAATAACCTGTATTTTTGTGAAGCAGTGTCTTTATTTAGGGATAGTTATGGGAGGATGGGCAGTTTACCACTACACCACTGAAGGAAATATCTTCTCTTCTCTAGCAACTGTTAAGTGCCTAGAGCTCCCCAGGGTGGCATATTAATTTTTTAATTAAAAATTATTTTTATTTATGTGTGTGTATGTGCATGTTTAAGTTCATGTGTGCAACATGTGTACGGGTGTCACATAAGGCCAGAAGAGGGTGTTGGGAGGAAGCTGGAGTTACGGGCAGTTGTGAGTCAGTCACCTGATGTGGTTGCTGGGAGCCAGTCTCCGGATCTCTGCAGGAGTGGTGTACTCTCTTAACCTCTGAGTCACCTCTCTAGCCCCCTCTTAGAGTCTGTGATGGGGTCTCACTGTGTACCCGTTTCCAAGTTTCTTAAGTTTCTTATTGATTTTTTTATTTTTGAGACAGTTTTCCAGTGTAGCCTTGGCTGTCCTGAAACTTGCTCTATAGAGCTCTTCCTGCCTCTGCCTTCTGCGTGCTGGGATTAAAAGTGTTAGACACCATGACAAGATAGTCCATGTTTCTTAGCAAAGGATTAGGAAGATAGAAAGAAATGTAATGAGATAAATCCAGCTCCATGGAGATACCCTGTCTGGGGTGGGGGGCGTGGAGATGTTGTGTGACACTCATGTAGACTATAAATTTAGCTTGTTTGTTTGTTATTTGATGTATACAAGTGCTCTATTTGCATGTGTACCTTGATGCCAGGAGAGGGCATCAGATCCCACTATAGATGGTTGTGAGCCACCATGTGTTTGCTGGGAATTGAACTCAGGACCTCCAGAAGAGCAGCTAGCACTCTTCTGAACCATCTCTCTAGCACCAGCTAGTTTATGTTTTATGTCCTATATAGCATCATAAGCAACCAACTGATAGGCACATTGTCATTGTTGACCTCATTGTGAGGTCAGGCGAGAACAGACTTGGAACAGTTATGCTGTGATTTCCATGT